ACTGGTTCTGAAGTCAGGAGGACCTGAGTTCAAATGTGATCTCAGACCAAACACTTGACATTTACTAGCTGTGTGACCCTGGGAAAGTCACTTAACCCCAACTGCCTTAAAAAAGAAAAAAGAAACAAAAGTGGGGAACAAATCCAGAAGTCAGTGAAAATATGAAAAGCAATAGATATTTGTGAAAATATTTTAATACACAAGTTACACAGTCCATGTTAAGTGCTCACATTTTACATTTTCTCCTGGTTTATAATAGCCATATTTAAAAAAAAATCCCAAAGTTTTAGGACTAATAAAATTGACCAGTTAATGCATTCCATGTTACATATACAAACCCACTTAATGAACATTTTTCTCTTGGTTTCCACAGCTGTCACAAATTACTTTCAGTGACTAGCTAACTCCCAAATCGTTTATATTAAAACACATATTCTTCTCAACTAAATTGGAGCTTTTACTATAAATGGCTACCAGTAGATGTTAACATACAAATCAGCAACATTTATATAGATTTACAAAGGTAAAGTATTATCAAGCATGGATGCAAGATTTGCTGCAGACACATTCTGCATGTTGCAAAATCTGAACTGGTTTAAAAAAAAAGTCAACCTTTCAATACACAACAATGCAAATCAGCTAGCCCACTCTATGTTCCATAGTTGGGTCAGAGGCTGATACACACACTGTAATATAAAGCAGTGTAATTAGACATTTACACTAGATTCTAAAATGTCTCCAAAACAAGTATCCACAAATTCTAAAACTGGCCTCTGTATCATCCCCTGGTCTTAATGATTTCAGGCAAAAAAAAAATTTACAAATTACTACTTTATTATATTATTTATTGAATATAATGTTTAAACTATAAAAGTTAATACACTGAGTTTTTGAAGTTTAAATTTTGCAAAATGCAGTTTGCAGAAAACAATTTAACAGTTGCTAGAATAAATGAAGCAGTGCTTTTGAACTAACTTTACATCCGAGTTTTGTTTCTAGTTTAAAAAAATATATATCACAGTGACTTCTGAGTTGAGTAAAATGAAGTGCATTAACTTCATTTATGCTTCTCCTTCAACAAGCAGAGCGGCCGCATAAAGTGATAACATCCCCAATCTATATACCCAAAAAGCTATATACACAAAAGGGAGGAGGCAGTGCTTGGAAACATTATTTGCTCAAAAAACCCAGTAACTTCTCTGACTCTTAACCTTAATGAAAAAGATTTTTCTTCTTCTTAAAAAAAAAAAAACAAAACCCACAATTATTTGTAAGAAAAATATACTCCACAACAAATAGAGTGCAAAACCCTTGCAGAATTTATCTATATAATAGTTTTACCACCCAACTAAACTATACTGGGTAAGCCAAGTGAGGGGACATAACAAGGAAAACACATTATTTGTGTTTATCTGTAGCAATTAGTTGAATAGAACATTAAAAAAAATTAACAGTAAAAGGATGACTGTTAGTGAAAGCAACCACAACAAATTTCCTTTAAGGAGGGGGCTTAAAAAGAAACTATTAGTGTCTGGAATGAATAGGGGGACTATCTAAAAATAAAGTATCTTTATAATTAAGACACTATTAAGAACTTTAACAATCAATGTAACTTTTAAAGCATGAAGATGTTCTGTATCATTCTTTCCTGTCTCCTCACATACACATATATGAACATATATACATATTATGCGTGTGTGTGTACGTATATATATTCTCAATGTCACTTAATGACCACCTGAGCTATTCCGGATTAAATTAACTGCTATCAAACAATACAAAGGAAAACCTTATGGCCAAAAGTCCTGCTTATTCCTAGAGAAATGGGCAATTTTGTAGAGTCAATATATGCAGATTCAGATTTATCACATCCATTTAGTATAATTACCTTAAGCACTTCAATTAGGTGCTTGTAGACAACTATACTATTGTATAAAATCAGTGAATAAACTTTTCAAAAACAGATAGTTTCTCCCTAAGGAACTGATATTACATCATGAGTTAACTACTCACTACAACCAATTTCTGTGGCCAGTAATTCCAGTTTGTAAGGCCTCACAAAAAACTGATTTATTAGAAATAACAACATTAAATCTATGTTATCATAAAACTTCCAAAATTATGTGCATAAAGGGATCACTCTAATAAAGCAACCAAAGAGAACAAAACAATGTAATCCAACTAGAAAAAACCCAACTATTTTTCGAAAGACATCAAATCAAATATACTTCCAAGAGAACTTTAATTTTGAACAGCAAATACTGTGAAGTGAATTTAACAGCAAAGACTGTGATAGCTTTTCTTACAGCAAACCATAACTGAGTATGTTCAATGTCATAACTAATAGATATAAAAAAAATACATATTACAACATATAATATTCAAAACACAAGGGAAAAAATTCAGGATTTCAGTGATTTTAATAACAGAAAATATTAGTCCTCTCATGACCCAAAAATACATATAAGGCATGTAGAATTCATAGTTTTTCATCTGATTGTTGACATCAAAATTCTGAAAGCAAAACTCAACTGATTATCTTTTCTCCCTTATTCCTTCACTGCCGAAAAAATAATACACCTTAATTATACTATGTCAGTCAAAAGTCTCCTTCAGTTTCCCCCACCAGTTTTTTTTTGTTCTTAAAAAATTACTAACATAACACTACAAGAACATACAGCAGATTGTTAGTTTAAAAAATACTTTTTGAAATCTTATGAAGGACAAAACCAAAACTTTCACAAAAAAATCTATTTTTTAATGTTGCAGTGAAATGCATTTAAAAACACTAAATGAGAGATGGAGACTATTTGGTATAATCCTTACAAAGAAAGTCCAATTTTGAGCAATCCAAAAGTCTGTTTTTTACAATTTGGAACTGGCTATCTTTTGATCATACTAATATAACATCAGGTCACTCTTTAAGTCCTACCTTTCATCCAACGATCTTGAAATAAGCAGTTTACAAGAAACATCATTTAAATGTATTTCTTTAAATTTGTGAAATAATACTTAAAGCTTTCACTGATATGAGATTAGGTCCAAGTTCCTTCAGAATGAACCACCCCAGTAAAATCTACTTTGGATCTTCTTTCCAAGGGACAGCAATGTATGGTGTCCCCTGATTCTACATCATTAAATGACTACACAATGCAAAATGCATTATTCCTTTATTAAAGCAATAACATTAAGCGTTGTATAATAAACATTGTTTTACTAAGCATAAAAAGCATTATTCAATAGCTATTTGACTTACTAAGAAGTTGCATTATGAATATAACTGACACTATTTTAATTATAAATGTCCCCAGTTGCTCTTAGGAACTGAGATCTTAGATGTTCTTGCCCCCCTACTCCCACAATGAAGTCACTATTTGTTTGTCTGGTTATCCCATTTTATTTTTTAAAGAATAAGGGAAAAGCCACATATCATAAGAGAAAGCAAATTTTTTAAAATGCCACTTCAAAACTAAATTTGTCATATCTGAATGCTATCCAATTTTGTGATTTTCTTAACTTTGTGACATTTTGTAAATGCTAAGCTAAAGTTATAATCAAGATGAACAATTTAAAGCCATTTAAAAAATTTTAGTGTTGACAAAATATACTATAGTGTTGCTGTAAGAAAAATATTCAAAGAAATACAGGAAATGGGGTACAGAAGTCCGTCCTGCCCTACAGGAAAAGAGAAGGGGAAGGGGATAAGAGAAGGGGGGAAGAGACAGAAGAGCGGACAGACTAGGGGAAGGGATATTCAGAATGCATGCCATCTTGGGGTGGGGGGAGGGGTGAGATGGGGTGATAATTTGGAACTCAAAATCTTGTGGAAGTAAATATTGAAAACTGAAAATAAATAAATTTACATTAAAAAAAAAAAGAAAAATATTCAGAACAAATTCCTACCATTTGATACTTAAATCTCCAAGAAGATTTTAGAAAAAAAAGTAGGCCATTTTAAAGCATACAGAATAACTTTGATTTACGTGTAGTGCCAATTAGGACAAATTTCAAAAGTTAATATAACAATGCTAGTTATTTTTAGGTTCAGACTATTGTAGAAGGGCTTGTGTATGTAAACATATGCTCATAAGAATATTTTCTTGGAAAATAACTGAATGGAAAACCAATATTACTAGTGCAGATTCTGATATACTCCTGAATAAAAAAGGGACAATCTATAAAAAAATACCTAAATTCTGTTCCCTAAGTATTAATTCTGTCTGATGCTGTGCGACAAGCCAAGAATATCTCTACTTATGTCAAATGATCAGATAAGCATGATCTTCCTAAAGAATAAAATTAAATCCAACCTGACATTTCTACAGGACAAGTGAAAAAGAGTACAGAAAACATTTGTAAGGAATGACCTACACACACAGAACTTGAAATACAAAGAAACATGTGTAAAATAAAAAATAGAAAAATGGATATGTTTCTATGTATTTAAAGCACAACTTACAACATCAAAATTTAAAAATAATTATTCAGGAAATCATAGGATAAGCATTTTTTTCTTGGAATAAAAAAAACCCTCCTGTAAGCTTCTACAATGAACATCAATAATGTTCTCCCTAAAATGTAATCAGAAATATCAGTATGACTTCCTTTCAATTTAATGGCTTTTAAAAATACCTAAAACATGAGAAGTGCAAACTTTTATAAAAAATACTATTGCAATTAACAATTATATTTGTTTCTAACAGGTTGATCCAACAGATCAAGATATATATTAGACATGGCAGCTGTTGGCTGACAGCTACAACAGACAGAACGGAAGAGTTAAACAGCACAATATTACACAAAAATGTTTTTCTCATTTCAAGTTTATTAAAACTTTAGCAGTACAAATTATTCAGGTTGTAGAATATCAAAAGATCAAACTCAATGAAGTCCGCATTTAAAAAAAAAAACCAACCCCAAAAACAAAAAGAGGAAAACAACAACAAAAAAAAGGGATTTTTTCAGCAAGTCTCTAAAACCTAAGGAGAAAAATGGAAATACAAAGTTCAAGGCCCTCACTCATCCACTTTTGTCTTCATCAGTTCCAGGGCTGGACTCATGATCAGATTTTTTATCTTTACCACGTGTATGGTCTCTTTCTTGACTCTTTGATTTTTGGTTGATTTCTTTTTCTAATGAACATCTGGTCTTCTCTTCTTCCTTATTTTTGTATGTAGAGGACTTTAATTCTCTGTCTTTACTATTTTGTTTTCTCGAGTTTGGACTTTGATCTCTGTCAGTTTTTTTCTCCTTACTGCTGTCTCGGCTACTGTTATCGTGATTTCTTAAGTGCCTTTTTTCACTCTCAGAGTTCTCTTTTTTGTGTGAACTCCTTGTTTCTTGGTTTTTACTTTTTTCTTTATTTCTGCTTTGACTTTCCTCTCTCCCTGAACTCCTTGACTCTCTCCTCCTCCTCCTATCTTTACTTCTAGATTTTTCTGGTGTTCCTTTCCTTTCTTTGCTCCTTGATCTTGCTCTTCTCCGGGATTCCCTCTCTCTGTTCCTATAATACTCTTTGCTCCTACTACGGTCTCGGTCTTTGCTCCTAGATCTGGCTCTTCTTCCTTTGTCCCTGCTTCTGCTTCGCTCCCCTTGTCCGGCCATTGGAGCTGTGTTTTCCTTTGGTCACCTCCCGTTCTCTACTCCTTGACTTGGCCCTTTTATCCTTGTCTTTACTTCTGCTATGGTTGTGTTCATTATTTTTTGACCCTGCTCGTTTAGACCTCTCTTTACTCCTGCTCTTTTCTCGTTCTTTGCCCCGAGAATCAGAATGTTTCTCTTTCTCTTTTACTTTTTCATGATCTCTTTCTTTGCTTCTTGATCTCATTCTCTTTTCTTCGTGCCTGTTATGCTTTGAATCTCTTTCTTTACTTTTTGACTTCTCTTTGCTTTTACTCCTGCTTTTAGATTTGGCCCTTTTCTTTGCTTTGCTTTTATTGTATTTATCATCTTTCTCTGAATTTCTCCTTGTGTCCCTATCTTTACTGCTGGATTTATGGTCTTTTGTTTTCTTTTCCTTTTCACCTTTTCTATTTGGACTTTCTGATGCATGTCTGTGTTCAGATATTTTTCTTTCTTTTCCTCTCGCTGGGCTTTTTTGATTTTCCTTTTTATTTTCATTTAATTCACTCCTACAAAAGAAAAAAAATTAAAGGCTTTAGAAAATGCTCTATTAGAAGAATAATTTCAGTGTGAGCTAATAAGATCAAACAAGTATAGCAAGCCCCAATTTCATTATTTTAAGGTATAAAAAACTGCAGGCACAATTAATGTTAATATTCGTAAATGAAAGATTCTTTCATAATACAGTATAAGTGAAATCATTCTATAAGCTATTAGAAGTACTATAGTTATAAGATGAAATTTTATATCTTACTTATCCCCTTTGATCCACCTTTCACCACTTGACACCCTCATTCTTTGAGCTCTCTGCATTTCTTGTCTCCAATGTGGAGGAGTCTCACTACGCCTGAAACGATCCCGTGACCTGGATCTGGAAGGTGTTCGATAGCGCTTAAGAAAAAAAAGTAAAAAATTTTCAAATACAAATGGCAGTCAAAAGGGTTCTCATGTTCAAGTTAATACTTCTTTCATATACTATTATCCTCAAAAGAATGTCAGAATGTTTTCCACAAAATACAGCTGACAAAAAAAAGTCCAACCCCCCCCCCCATGCTTTGAGTATGTTTGAAACAAGACATGTTCTTCGTATCTAAGCTAAACTAAACTAAAAAGATTCTAGAGTTCTAGGTACATAGTAGAGCTCTTGGGGTAACTTTAGATCAAAATACAGCATGTATGACTTTGGGATATTAGAACCTGAAGGTTGGGATACATACATACTGTGTGTGTGTGTGTGTGTGTGTGTGTGTGTGTGTGTGTGTGTGTGTGTGTGTGTGTGTGTGTGTGTGTATGTATGCATACAGTATTACATAGTTAAGGGCCTCTTAGGATAGCTATATATATATGCATGTGTGTGTGCATGCGTGTGTATGCATACAGTATTACATAGTTAAGGGCCTCTTAGGACAGCTCTGTGTGTGTGTGTGTGTGTGTGTGTGTGTGTGTATGTTCAGTATTACATAATTAAGGGACTCTTACAATAGCTACAACCTCCATAAAATGTAGGTAAGAATTGGTCTCGATTTTAAGTTACTAAGCAATTAAAAATGTAATGTGCATGAATATGTTTCACCAGTTTTCATCTATGTTCTATGACACAAATAACACAATCTATCAAAAAAAAAGGTTATTTTAGAAAAGATATAATTCCAACTCAGCAAGTCACACAAGTTATGTCTATTAACACAAATTTCATATACTATGTAAAGAGTATCTTACTACATAATTAAAAATTAAGGAAGGAATAAAATGCCAAGAAGATTCCTTTGAAAAGAAACACTTACCCTTGGTCCTCTTCCTTTAATTTTCCTTCCAGACCTGGTGACTAGAAGTCTCCTTTGATATGAAGAGGACTGGGAGTTAGATGGATTACTAGAAGTAAAAAGAAAGTTGAAAACCACTATTTAAAAAAAAAAATCAACTTAAGTATAGCTTCCTTGACCTATAACAATATAGTTTATTTCACTCCCATAAACCTTCAACACTTAAAATAACCATTTTGTAACAACTTCATTTTTATTAACTACTGAGGGAATAAGAACTATTAGTTTAAAATACTAACAGTATACTATTGTTCAGCAGATACAGTTTTTAAAAAAAAATAATCTATCTTGACTCTATCTTATATTCCTGACCAACAAAGATGGCAAGTCATAGAATTCTAAACCTCCAAGATTGAAACAGACTTTGGAAGTCATCCAAACCAAACTATTAAACGATGCATGAATCCCTTCCACAACATCTCTGACAAATGGCCAATTTGGCCACTCCCTGTAAAGGAAGCAGTGTGGTACAGAGGAAAGAAGGCTGGATATGGAGTCAGACAACCGGTATTTAAATACATGTTCTATTATTTAACACCTGGGTGACCTTAAGCAAATCATGTTAACTCTCAGAATTTGTTTTAGTAAAACAAAGAGCTCAGATTATGTGATCACTAAAGGTCCTTTGCAGCTCAAAACTTAACATACTATAAAAATAAGTTTTTAAAACCAACCAAAAAAAAAACCACAATTCAATATTACTGTATTAAAATGCACTACATGCTAAGTTAACAACAGTATACTGATTTTCTACTGTCTCTTTTCTGTCTCACAAGCTCCTCTTCCTCAAAGTCCACATAAATAGGGATTCTCCTAAAGGATCTGTTCTGAGTCTTCTTTCTATACTTTCTTAAAGAACTCATCTATTCCTTTGTTTTCAATTCTCATCTCGATGCATACACCTCACAAATCTCTATCTCTGGTTCTGGTTCCCAGTTCTCATATTTTCTCTTTGATGTCCTGTCAACATCTCAAATCCAACATATCCAAAACAGAACTCTTCCCCTCCACCAACTCCCCCATTTCTATTTACCACTTAAAACTGGTTTTAAGCTGATCAAAACATTTTTTGAAGTTTCTTTTTCTCAAATTCAAATCAGTTGCATCAAGTTATACAATTTTATAATTTTTGGGCTGGGAAGGAACTTCAGAGTTCATGATGTCCAAATCTTTTTCCATAGATAAGGAAAAAAAGAGTAAGTAAGAATAGTTTATTGTAGTAGTACTTCCATCACCCTGACTTAGATTCTCATTATTTCTCAGGTTCCTAACTGATCTTCCTACATCTGACTTTGTATTTCTACTACACTCAATCCAATACATCAACTGTCTGATTTTTTTCAAAAAGAGCTTTGATAATTTCATTTTCCTAAAAACTCAATAACTTCTCACTGCCTAATGAATAAGGCTTCTTAGCCCTGGCATTCAAGGCCTTTCAAAATATGGCTGTAGTATTTCAGAAACTTATCTCCCTCACTACCCATCAGCCAGTCAAACTAGATTATTCAATGTTGCCTTATATATCCTGTTCCTTCCCATGCCATGCTATTTTACTTGAAATGCCCAACCCTTGTTTCTCTGCCTTCAGAAATCCTAGCTATCATTCAAGGTAAAATGACATGAAGCCTTTCCTAACATCCTCTTCATTTAAATCTTCAGAGCCCTTAGTTTCTATCATTCTTATGACACTTTCCATATTCTGAAGCCTTGTGACAAATTATAAACTGGTCATACTCCCTAGATTATAAGCAACTTGAAGGAAAGGATCATATCTTAGTCATCTGATAGTAATTCAACACTTAGCATAGTGCCTTGTGTATGGTAAGTACTCAATAGATATTTGTTGAATTGAAACATATGGCCTAGTAGAGATGCTTAGGAAACATTCATTAAAGAAAGTTCATAATCAATATGTTACGTTTACATGCCCAAATAAGTTTTTTCCCCCCCGGTGATGCAATTGGGGTTAAGTGACTTCCCCAGAGTCACACAGCTAGTGAGTGTTATGTGTCTGAGCTCACATTTGAACTTAGGTCCTCCTGACTCCACGGCTGGTGCTCTATCCACTGTGCCACCTAGCTGCTCCACCAAATAAGTTTTTAAAAATAAACACATACATGACAAACGTATAATGTAGTCAAGTTATTTCTTAAATAATAAATATATTTTCCTAACAATAAAGAGTTTTGTTCATATATCCCTCAAAAAATCAGAGTCAATCTTATGAAAGGTAAATTAAGGCTTACCTAAAACCTTCTTATTTCTAAGCATAATAATATAAGGCAATGCTTTCAAGAAGTTCTATAATAGGCACTTAAAAAATATAAGAAATAACTTTGGAGTTTCTTGCTAGTAATCTTTTTCTTAAAAATCTAGTTGAAAACCAGGATACTTGATTCTAATACTCTGATTTCCACAATAAAATAAGGATATCGTATGCCACAAGCATCAACTTACCACTCTCTTTCTTTCTCCCTTTCTCTATTCTTTCTCTCTTTCTCATCTACTTTAGGAGGACTTTTTCTCATTAGGAACCTGTTTTCAGGAATAGGAGGGATCTCTTCTGGACGGACAGTAGACTGTGGTTGTGCTTCAGGACTTTCGTCTTCACTCTCAGTAGAAGAACTTAATTAAAAGATGGAAACACACACACATACACATACACACAAAAGCTGGATGTGCTGAATAGTACTACCCAAGTTGCTGTTGTTGCCAATGCAATGTGGCATCATGATTAACAAAAATCCTAAAATTATAACATAATATGAAAAAATTACCCCTCCTCCATGAAATATAATACCCCAAATTCTGGCATACTGCTCTTTTAATAAGATTTTCCCATTGGCTTTCAACATCGATTCCTTTGTATTCCATTTTTTAAGTATTAAGATGATTGCTTTCAAGTTCAGAGTTAATTTCTAATTAAATTTATAAATGCAGAGGATATTTTCACCAGCATTAAACTGACAGTTATCTTTTGATAGAAAAGGCAAAGATCCAGAAATAAGTTCTCTATCTCACATTTTAGAAATGTTGCAAATATTTTAGGCCAAATTTCAGTAGGGACAATGGAGAAAGAGAAACCAAGAAGGAAGATTGTTCCTCAGAGCTAGTACTTGCAGTAACAGAAAGAGAATCACCCTTGAAACTAAGAAGACCTAAAATCAAATCTTGCCTCTTAAACACATACTGGCTGTGTGATCCTGGACAAGTCACTTAATGACTCAGAGCTCTAGGCAACTAAGACTACAGTTTGCAGTGAAGGTGCAAAGTTGAATTAGTAGAGGGATTTTTGTCATCCAGGATCTCTTTATACAAATGAAGCACAGTCATTATCCCCATTACTATCAAAGATGAAACAAGAAATAGAGTATAACATTTCCTGACAAAGTGGCAATAGACTCAAGACGCAAAATGAGACACACGTTTTCTGGATATGAACAATAAGAGAATTTTGATTACGCATATTTGTTACAAGTGTGTCCCTAACCCAATGGAGAAGAAGGTAGGAAGAACAAGAAAATACCCATTAATGGAAAAATAATTAAAAAAAAAAAGGGAATAAACAATGCTGCTGTGGAAATTAACAGGAGTAACCCTTATTAACCTCTTATAAATCTTTTCCAATTCCCTGAGTTTATTAGGATCCACTAAGTGTAAAACTCCACAAAACCAAGAACCTAGAAACTGTAGGAGAGAAAGAATCATGTTGTACTAGAAAGAGCTTAGGACAGAGTGAAAACACAATTCTGAGTTCAGGACTTGGTTCTGCTTTTGCTACAGGTGGATGGCCCCGGACAAATAATTTCTTCTCTCTGAGCTTCAGTCTCTTAATTTTAAATCATCTCTAACTTTCCCTTCAGTACCAACTTTCTGTGAATCTGAGACCTTTTCTTTGAGTGCTATTTCAAGAAGACATGGAATTACATGATTTGTAGAAAATGGAAATTAATGTCTCAAAATTTAATTCTTTAAAGATCTCAGCAATGTCAAAATTATCATTTTGTGCCATGCAGAGAAATCACTATGAAAATTAAATATTTTTCCCTAGATGATTCTAAGAATACAAACATGTATATTTTTAAGTAAAAGAGAAATCTCATCAGCTTATCAATCCTATATTTTAATTAGTTTCTGAAAGAAATCTGAACTATTTGCTGCTGACTAAAAAGCAAAAAACTAACCTTTTCTTGCTTTTCTTTTTCTTCTTTTTTTCCTTCTTATGTTTTCGGGACTTTCGGTGTTTCTTTTTTCTTTTCTTTGATTTTTCTTCAGAAGCACTTTCCGAATCAGAAGAAGAATCAGAGGACTGAGAATCACTTGAACTATCTGAATCACTGGATGAAGATGACGACTTATGTCTTTTCTTTTCTTCCTTCTTGGCTTTAGTCAAACATGATGAAATGTTCTGGTTAAATACTTTTATATTGAGATATAAGTAAAAACTCACAGATAACTAAAAATTCACAAAAAAATCCATTTAATCTAATTATCTTCATATATTCCTGTAAATAATCAGTTGTTAGAGCAATCATAATAGAAATGAAAAGTTAATTTGTTCTATACCATACAGCAAATTAGCGATCAAATCAGGGAAGAACTTAAATCTTGAGTCAGAGGCCAGTGTTATACCTAATCACAGTAATTATGCCAACCAACACCTTCCCCTAAATATTATTATTTGGAAGATAGCATTAAGTGGTTTATTGAAAACAGTGAAAAAAAGTCATACACATTTGAAAGAATATTGGCACACAGCTCTAGCTTTAATGCTTCACTTAAGCAACTAGAGCTTCAGGCAAGTTGTCAATCAGTCCACCTACAAATAATTATTGACATATACCATTGTTAGACTCTCTGATTCAAGTCTTCTGCTTTATAAACCTGCCTACCCTGCTTATTTCCTAGATGATCAAATGAGATGCAAAAGGAATCTGAAAAAAGTATGATGTAATAAGATGTTGTAATTAGTATACATTATTTTCTACTTTCTAATCTCGCAAATATCCCACAGGGGTTAAATTACTATTGCTGTGGAGTTCCTTAAAAAAAAATTAACTTCTGTTAAAGAGTAAGTTAATACAAGTATTTCTCATTGATAACCTAGATTACATTTTAAAGACCCTATATAGTAATACTTCAAGGCCAAAGGAACCAACAAAAACATTTTTAGGAAACGTTATTCATGTACACATACTGAGCTGGAAATCTAAAAAGAGGACAAAGAATAACTAAAATATGCAAATTTGGCATTAAAAGATCTACATGACCAAAATACAAGATATCTAGAAAAGAAAGTGTGTTTCATGTTCATGAAACTGGACTCATAAATCTGTAACTAAAATTACCAAAATAAAAAAAATTTTTTTGGGGGAAATTCAAGTCTATTCAACAAAATTACACTTTCCCCCCATGGTTACATATGACCCACTTCAAGAAACTGGGAAAAAGGGGCAGCTAGGTGGAGCAGTAGACAGAGCTCTGGCCTTGGAGTCAGGAGGACCTGAGTTCAAATCGGCTTCAAACACTTGACACCAGCTGTGTGACTCTGGGCAATTCACTTAACCCCATTTGCCTCACCAAAAAAAAAAAAAAAAAAAGGAAATTGGGGGGAAAAGGGGGGGGGAAGAATGGTGATGGTGTCTCTTTTTGCTTTACAAAGTGCCTGTAGAAATCTTTAAAAATACTAAGTTCCTCATGAAAATGAAAATAAATGCAATTTGAATTATAAGTATTTTAATTTATAGAAACAATTAATATACACCTTTGCTATGGCAGGTCAATAAACCCAACTAATTTTACTGTAAAGTATGTTTCTGTAAGGCAGCAGACAGTAAGCACCCCCCCCCCGCGCCCTAACAAAATGCTATTCAGGATCAGCATCTCTGAGTCTGGAAAACTAGAAGACTCAAAGAGTACTTTTGGATGTTATTTAATATACAGGATTCAATTTAGGTGACATTTTCCTCTGAATCTATAAAGGAGGGGAAAAAAAAGGAAAAACTAGCACTAATAAGAGAACAGATTCATATTCATGAAGAAAGTAAATGTGATCTGAAGGAACTATGAAGTGATATAAAACAATTTTACTGTATGTTACTATAAGCTAGCAGACGCTAGGCAAAAAAAAAAATCAAACAAACAAAAAACCCCATCTCTGTGATTTTTGAAAATAAGTGGTATCTAAACGACTACTAAAGTGATGTAAAGCAATAAATACGACCTTTCATTTCTAGTAGAAGTTAAGTTGGCAACAGAACTAGCATCTAAGATTTTTAATCATAAGCTGTCTCTAAATTGGAATATCTGGCTCAACCAAATCACCTACTATGTGCTCAGCAGTAATGGGCCCTGGGATGGCTATATAGATGAAAGTATAGTTATACCCTTTCAGAAGCTTACAATCTAGTTGGAAAGATAAGATGGACACATATGAAACAACACTGAATAGTACAAGACAATATATAACCGTTTAATTGTATGGTACAAACTCTAAGTGCTAAAGGAATTTAGAAGAAGACAATATTTTCCTGAGGATTTGAAAAAGCTTCCTGGATGGCTCTTGAAGGTAAGTCTAATTTGGATAAGCAGAAGGAAAAGGACAGGGCAATTCATATTGTTTACTAAAATCAACTGAATTCAAGGGAAGAGGAACATGAGTAAACATAAGCTGCTGGCAAAGCACCCTTTTCCAGAATGGGGGAGGAACATGGCATAGGTAAAACAGCACTTGACTTGGAGTCAGGAGAGACCTGTGTTCTAATGCTGCTTCTAAAACTTACTAGACATATGACAATGAAGGGTCATTTACCTCTCTCAAGACTGTTTCCTTATCCTTTAAACGGGGATACCACAACCTACTATACCCACCTACTGCATGTAAAGAAATATCTAAGTCATGGAATGATAGGAAGAACAGAGGACCCAGGTTCTAGTTCTGTTACTAAACTGCTGTGTGGCTTTAGGTGAAACATTTTACTTCTTTAGGCCTAATTTTTCCAATGCATAAAATAAAGTCACTGGCCTAGACAGTACCTTTACATAAACTCTATTAGTTGAAATGCCAGTCCCACATACCTCCCCTAAAATCTGAGTGTGATATCTAATGGGAGTTATTTTTTGGTGTATATCCTTTTCCTTTTTTTGTCTTTTTTTCCCCCACAGTTCCTTTTGCCTCAAAAATTGACATTTATTCAAAGTCAAAAAATAAAAAAAAGGAAAAAATGACAAAGGTGTCCATCCCTTGTTCCCCTCTCCGTCTAGCTCCCTTCCCCCATCCCAGAGAACAGGGCCCTGTGTTAAATCATGTGGGGAAGCCCCTCAGATGAGGTCAGCCACATTGAGAGGCATCTCCTCAATGAAGGTGTTATAGAAGGTCTCGATGTCTTGAAGAATCCTCTTGTCTTCCTCTGTCACCATGTTGATGGCCACACCTTTACAGCCAAAGCGCCCACCACAGCCAATTCTATGAATATAATTCTCCCAGTTGGTGGTATCCTTTTCCTTTTTAAAGAGAGCTCATTTTAGGGGAGTGGCTGCATTTCACCCAGCACAATGTAGTGCTATGAGGAAGGCAGTGTTAATATTATCCTCATTTCAGAGATAAGAAAACTAAGGATCAGAGATCAGTGCTGTGCCCACAGTCACAGCAGTAAATAGTAGAGCCATGGTTGCAAACAGTCTTTCTGACTCAATCCAACGTTTGCTTCTATACTCTGCTCAATCTCTCAGGTTCATCCCAGCTCCAACATTCTAGGATACCACTCATGTTTATCTGGACAGCTCATCTTGTCCCTGTTCATTCACTTCCCTGACAACTTTTAAGGAACAATAAGGATCAAAGAAGAGGCTTACTAGAATTTTAGTAGTGGGGTGAAAAGTAACAGATTGCCTCTTTAGCAAATATTAATCAGTTTCCTTTCTTCAGAGGAATCCAAACTAGAGGCTGCTGCTCTAATCAGAAAACTGTATAGACTTCTAGAGGGAGGAGGAGACTCCTGGAAGCGGGGGAAGTTAAAATGGCTGTCTTTGGGCACTTGGAGTACCTTTATGCGGCTTCGCACGTTCTGTGGAGTGAGACTGTCCTGGAAACAATACACATTCCTACTCCTGAGTGTTTGGGGAACTTTTTAATCTATATGTGGTGACCTCGACATTATCTCTACTCTCAGGTTCTTAACTATGGGCAGAATGAACCCCTAAAATGTGATGTTTGAACGAGACACCAATTTTAAAGTTTACAAAACATTTTATCATATATTATCTCATCTGATCCTCAAAAAACTCTATGAAACAGATTCTACGGCAGGATTCTTAAATCTGAGGCCTGTAAAAAATTATAGCAACTGTATTTCAACTGTATTTGGTTTCTTTTATAATCTTATGTATTTTATTGTATGTGTTTAGAAACATAATTCTGAGATGGCATTCATGGACTTTTCCACTGCCAGAGAGGTCCACAACACACAAAAAGTTAAGAGCCCCTGCTCTATTATTTTCTCCATTGTACAGGGAAGGAAACAGATGCAGAAAGGTTTGGTGACTTGTCTATTGCCATTCAGCTAAGTATTGCAGGTGGGATTTAAACCCTCAATTTCTGGGGTTCCAAGTCCATCATCATTCTTTCTGTTATACCATTACTGCCTCTCTTCTTGAGTCCCAACACCTGAGATAGAAAGAAAAATTTTTAAATGGAACAAAGAAGGGTTAGTGTCTAGAAAAGAAAGAAGGGAAAATAATTAAACTGAAGTACTATCATGGGCTAATTAAAGTCCTTGTAACATTGAACTAGCAGGGATTTGTATGATACTTCTTTCTGTGAACAGGGCAAACATTTTCATTCCCACTCTAAAGAAATTATTTTCTACCTGAGCTATTAACATAGGAACCACTTCTAGGCAATCTATAATAAGTGTCAATATCTGCACCTTAATTAAAAATATCTTTCACAGCAGATGACACCCACCAAAGTAGGAATTAATCAGAGAGCTGGTTACTGAGTGCCTTCATCCCTGCTTAATGATTTTCCTTACTGTATCTTTTTTTATATTTTATTATTACATTGAAAAAAGTTCTTAACTTTGTTGAACCAGGCTTTTTTAAAAAAATCAATTAATCTGGGGCCCCATTAAGGGACCTGGGGGCAGAAGGAAGAGAGGAGGCTTTGCAGTCCTGTTTCTGATATATACTGACTCTGTGATCATAAGCAAGTCACTTTACTTCTTAATGCACCAATAATCCTCTAAGAGGATTATTAGTGGAAATCTTAGAGGAAATCTTCTAAGATTATCAGGGTTATAGATGATATGAAGCATCAGAATAAGACAGAGTCGGGTTCCAGGACCATAGTCAGTGCCCACAGACAGCCCTCTAAGACCAGTGGTGTCAAACTCATACGGAAATGGGAGCCACTAAACCATACATAAAGATCCTTGTGAATTATATACTGACTTAGAAAACCACATGTCAATATTATCTATGTTTTACTGTATTTTTATTAAATATTTCCCAATTATATGGCAATCTTGGGAGTCCTGTGGGCTCCACGTGGCTTGCTGATCACGTTTGACATCACTGTTCTAAACTGACATAAGCTGCATATCTGCTTTGGTAGAGGGAGCTTTCTCACTGGCAGTTTCTTATGTCTTGTTCCTCACCCACCCCCAAAAATATTATAGGAGTGTGTTAGTGGAATCCATATTAAGAAATGCCCTATGCCAATAACATCATGTATCAGGGATCCTTGTCTCCTTTCCCCTGTCCCCCTCAAAATTAAGCAATGACTATTCTAGATCTGTTCCCCAAAAAAGAAAGGGGGGGGAATGAGAAGACATCTCTAGGGAGAAATTTCCATTCTTGTGGTATATAGAATTTGTTCCTACCAATCTCACTTTTATTCTTCACAAAGAAGAAAAGTACTTCTAGGCCTTCATAAAATGTACCCTGAAAACAAACTACATCAACCTCATGCCACTTGACCTAGAAACAATTCTCCTTTTATTAAAGGGTAACTTTATTTACACTTAACAGTGTCTCTTAAACATTCTACATTCAACCTCCTCATTACACTTTTTGGTAACAACTTCCTCATTACACTTACATAACTTTTCAGCAAGTGTCACTAAAATAATCTGCTCAATCAATTCCACAGCATTTATTTTCTTGATTATATCATGAAAGCACTGCACTGGGCCAGGATCATCAAAAATTAGCCTCCAGTAGTTTATTCCATTTGGTTCTTGTATACAAGATTCATTGGCTTTTTTATTACTCTAATTGTCCCTTTTTTTGTGTGTGTTAAAAAGCAATCAGTTTTGGGCTATCACGAGTATTTTTTTCCTTATTATAAAGGAATATTTTAAAAACACCACTTATCAATGGCAAGAGCCTCTGCAATCTTTGCAAAAAGTATTTAAGCCACAAGAAACTCCTGTTTAAACCACATAATGTCTTTGTTAAACTAAACCTATCATAAGGAGGTTCATTTGCCTATATTCTTTCCTCATTCATTCTGACCTTGGGAGGACCTTCCGTCCGTCTCTACATAGGATCCCAGATTCCACTAGTCTCTAGTATTCCATCTTTGCATCTATTACAAGGGCCTTCTCCATGGACCTCAACACAGTTACATTCTCTGGCATATGGAAATACTACAAGAAGCAGATCTCCAATAGAGAAGGGGGAAAAAAGGCCCAAGAGGAGTGCCCAGGACTCACCAAGATAATATACAGGTAGGCCCAGACAGTCAGTTTTCTTCAGAAGTCTTTTTGTTTTCTTTCAGGCAGTTATAAAAAGAAAAAAAAAGATTCTGTATTTATTTTTTTTAAAGTGGGGTGTCACTGCACAATTTTCAAACAAGGTTTTTAAAATATAATGATAGTGAACACCCTACAGTATTAAACAAAGTCTTTCTATTGTTTCCAAATTGGTATAATTGTCAAAAAGAAAATGGGGCTTAAAAACTGTATTGTATGCATTATACTGCCTGTACCCTCCAAAAGTATGGCAAAAACCACTCATACAAATATTTTGAATGGCAGCTGCAAAAACACAAAGTACCATGTACCCACTGTTTTCTCAACTAAGTTCATGCCACAAATACTTCTGCTCATTTCAATAGATGTGTTTTGGAGAAGAGCAGGCCTGAGAAATCTGTCTTACAGCATCCCTAACAACAAATCTCTCCTCAATCAGTCTGGACGAGAGTTAATTAGGAGTACTATCTTTCCCAACTTCTCTGAAAATTTATCTGGTTTCTAGAAGACAGGAATAAGAATATACTTGAGAATATACTATCCTACCTTGGTCACATGTAGCCAAACAATGCCTGAGGGATGCCATTAAGTGAGAGCTGCTTTATAGTAATATAAATAAATATAAATAAATAAATAGTAATATAAATCAAATTACATGAGGGTTTGTCTTAATTCACGTTCTCTTTCTCTATCAAATAATTATATCAACTCTACCCTTTAATTACCCAAAGCATATCTGCATGTAAATACAGAATGAGTTGTTTAAGGAAAACATTAAAGGATATTCTTTTTTGTTCTTTAAAGCTGCAAAAAACCCTACCATATTCAGCTAACAAATTTTAGGGAACAGATTCCAACTCAAAAAACCCTAGAAGTAAACAATTAAAAGAAAAGCTAAAAAGTAAATGATTTAATGATGTTTAAGAGTATGGTAAAAAAGCAAGTCTTAACTGATCGTAACACCCTAGTTGTAAGAATATCCTTTAAGATGGTTAACAGTTAACATCATTTAGCCTAGGGTCCTCAATATGATAATGTTAAACAAAGATTCCAGAATCACCAAAATGTTAAGAGTTGGGAAGGCCTTGGAGATAATCTTCTAGGGCAATACCTTTAAAAACTAAGACCAAGAGAAGTTGAATGTTATCCCCAAGGTTATATTGCAACTAAGTGGTAAAGCTGATACTAGAATTTAATTTTCACACAGTCTCATTTCTCCTTTTTAGCAGCTACTTTTATTTTTTACATAAATTAATATGGAATACCTGTCTGCAAGAAGCTGAAAGAGCTTTATGAACATTCCACTCTTCACTGTATCCTAGGGCAATAGCCAGGACATAAACTAATGGATTATATCCACTGTTTTTATATGAGAAAAACAAGGTAAGAGGCAGGAATGATGATTAAGAGGTTGAAGAGTCCAAGATCAAATTTAATACTGCTTGGTCCCTGCAGACTATCAGCCTACATTTGGGATGACAAGAAGGGGATGAAAAATTTTCTTTGTCAACATTATCACGACTTGTGCTAGGTGAAAGGAAAAATAAATTGTAACCCTTGGAAAACAGCGAAGATTAAGTAAGGACGAAGACTCTGCTTTTTACATATCAATCTCACTTTGGTTTTTATATAAACTCAAAATTCCAATTTGATGACAAGTCTCCTTACCTGAAAGAGTTAAGAGCACAACAATTTTACAAGGGTCTTTCTGAACAACACTGATAAAGATACTGAAAGGCTATGAACCCTGAGGCTTCTGTTGGTAGTCTAATGCACGATTCAACAAAACAGACTTAGTTTTATAATGGAAAACTAAACTATTGCTTAATGCTCATTTCCTGGGAATGATTTTTCTTCATTCTTTTGAATGAACTAACTGTCGAAAGTGAATGGTAAGTGACAGTCATTTTACATGGGATATTTTTTCCATCAAAGGACTTTCCAACAAAATATCTCAAATAAATTAAATGCATAGCATGTCAGAAAATTGACATCAAAAGCATGAATGGAAGGAATCCAATTACTATCTTCTACAGTAAACATATTTTTCCAAACGTTATCAGATGGTAGCTGAGCTCACAGCAGGAAAAGGAATTAATTTATTCCTTTAAAAGTTTATCAATCTAGGGGCAGCTAGGTGGCACAGTGAATAGAGCACCAGCCCTGGAGTCTGGAGGACCTCAGTTCAAATCCGACCCGACCCCAAACACCTGAAATTTACTAGCTGTGTGATCCTGGGCAAGTCACTTAATCCCAATTACCTAACACCCCCCCCCCCCAAAAGTTTATCAATCTAAAATCAATCAATCTAAAATTGTTCCATTTTAACTTATAGTTTCTTATTAATTCCTTTTTTCAAAAAAAATTAAAATGCTGTAAAAGCAGGAAGGTGCATTATTTGGAAATTAGGGAACACACCTATAAATTAAATAAATGAACCATACGATGGAAGATGTAATTAAAAAGAAGAATGTTTTCTGTACCAGCAATCATGGGGCAATGATCTTTTTTTAATGACCTGGAGTCATTGCTTATTTTAAATATATGTGATATGCTTAGAAATGTTCAATTTATCCTTACCTTTGGATTTGGGAATTAGCTCCCCACAGCTAAGTATTCGTACTTCAGCATATGGTTTGCTGGACGCATCCGTTTTCTGGTTTTCAATCTCTCTCACAACCTCTTGGCCAGAGATCACTTGTCCAAAAACAACATGGTGCCTATGCAGATAAATTAAAATGACTAAATGTTAAGTTTTTGGTTTTAATAAAAAAAAATTAAAAGTAGAAGAAAAATAAATAAAAAATATTTACCCATCTAAATGAGGTGTAGGTTTAGTTGTTCTTTTGAGGTCATCATCAGATAGAAGAATTAAAACAAAGTCAGAGAAAAACAAAGTTAGCACCTCTAAAAAGGAAAAGAAAACAATTGCATTGGAAACAAAGTTGCAGATAGATTAATTTAAGGTTATTTTTAATTAACAGAATAAAACTGACAAGAAAAGACATGCTGGATATATACTATGATTTTATGTTAATATTAAATATGAAATAAGGAAATGTAACTATTTAAATTATATATCTGATAGCATCTGACATGTAGCAAATAACAACATGTTTAATCACTATAAATGTATAACAATATACGACGGAGAAGTAATTCCAGGTCTGAGTTTTTTCTCAAACCCTGATAATATTGGTCTATAGTAATGGCAAAATGCAGAAATTTTAACAAGATGATTTATTTACTCTCCACCCCCTTTCCCTTTACTTTTCATGTGAACCTGAAAGCTCTGTATAACTTAAACTGTGTATTAAGACAACTTATAGGACAAGGGACTAAAGATCAACTGAATACATTACGGTAAGACTTGTTAAGAAGGGCTATTGGAATCATAACACCTATCAGGTCACAGATAACTGATGTCTCACATTTTAAAAAACTTTTTTTTTTTGAGAAATAAGGCTTTTATCAGAGAAAAACCTGCTTCAAAATTTTTTTTCAATGTTACTACTGCTAACTGTATTTCCTCTATCCTATTCCTCCCACCCCATTTATTCTATTCTCTCTCTCCATCCTGTCCATCCTCAAAAGTCTGCTGCTTCTGAATACCCTCTCCCCCAATCTGCCCTCTCTTTTACCACTCCCCCTCTCCCTTCTCCTATCCCCTTCCTTGTATGCTAAGACAGACTTCTATATCCAACTGAATATGTGTTATTCTCTCTCTGAGCCAATTCTAATGAGAGTAAGGTTCACTAACTCCCCCTCACCGCCTCCCTCTTCCCACCTACTATAAAAGCTTTTTCTTGCCTCTTTTATGTGAGATAATTTATCCCATTCTATCTTTCCCCTTCCTTTTCTCCCAGTACATTCCTCTCTCACCTCTTAATTTTATTTTTTTAGATTGTCATCCCTTCATATTGAACTCACACCTAAGCCCTCTGTCTACATATACTCCTTCTAACTGCCCCTAACAGTGAGAAAGATCTTAGGAGTTACAAGTATCATCTTCCCATAAAGAAATATAAACAATTTAACTAATGAACACTTTCTAATATAAAACCTGTGAACTAACCACTACTTAGATACAATTTTCCCATTTTGGTCTCTTCTCTCATTTTTTCTCTCAGTGTTTTCAGGCTACTTCTCATACTTCTGTTTCTTTAATTCCTATTATCCAAAATCATCACGTTAGGCACAAAACCCCCCATTATCCTTATCCAGCTCAAGTGTACCCTTTCTACATGTTTAATATTAGTGATCTGTTTTTATCAAACCTTTTGACTAGCACCCTAATTCTATTATAAATAAGCTTCCAACCTGTATTAAACCTCCTTGAAGTCTTTTCACCTCCTCCCATTCTGAAAAAATGGCTGTCCCCCTGCTGATTCTATGTTCATATAATCTGCATTTCTCCCACATCCTCCTGGGTCCAGAAAGAAGGGGTAAAAGATTACTTTTTTGCCCACTCATTTTCAGATCACTGTTTTGCCATCATTCAAAAAATTCTCTATTAAAAAAAAAAAAGCAAAACTTCTCTGCTTTTATGGCTTATCCTATTGTGCTTTTCACTATCATATCTCAGTCTAGAGCAGGGCTTCTTACACTTTTCCCACTCAAGGTTCCCTTTCCTTTTTGAGTTTTGGGCAATGTAGTTGGTCTTGCACAGCCAAAGGGCATGTGCATGCTTTGTGTTCAGAACCAAGGCTGAAGTGAAGTTGTGCGATGAAATACAGGCAAGCACTGCCAGAAACATTTGATTCTTAATTAATTTTTGATTGTTGCATGTTTGGAAACCTTTTACTGTTTACCCCATATGGAGTTGCAACCCACAGTTTTAAGAAGCACTGATCTAGAGGACTTCTACCTACCTTTAGTGGGCAGCTCACAGCGTTCCTTTCCATGGTGTACTCTACTGTAATTTTCACTGATTTCAAAATTCACACTGACAACCCCTCTACCACCTTGGCACCACTGCTCCTTGGTTAAAGACCTCAATTTTTATACCACTTTCAACTCTTCACCCTCCCTAACCACTCTATCACTTCAAACCATTCATCTTTTAGACCATGAATCTTGAAATTACTATCTTGGACAAAATTTCTGTCTTCTATTCTTCTCACTCCTAAGAAACCCAACATTAATTCTCATGGCGATCTTCTAGTTCCACCACTCCTTCTCATCTTATTGCTAGCTACCTTCTGTATCTCCTTGCCCACTAAGCCTAAAATCCATGATAAACATTCATTGTAACAATATGCTGGCCACTATTCCTTACCCCCATTGGGATTTCATATTTCTGCCCTGCCAACCACATGTATTATTCATTATCTACCTTCTCTATACAAAAACCCTCTTGAACTTCATTAATCAAAGTCAAAACTGCTAAAAAGGCTTGCTAACAATTCATACAATCTGATCTTAGTGGGTAGCAGCTATTAAGACTCAGTGTCGCCCCTGTTCTCAGTGATAGCTGTTTTTTTCTTTACTAAGACCAGAACCATTTAAGCTAAACTTATCAACCTTTCCTTCTTTGCTTTTCCACCCCTGCCATCCTCTTACACTTCTGTTTGCAATGAACAAGTGATCCTTCTCCTTGGCAAAGCTACTCTTTTATGTATGCTCTTTTTTCATCTACATTGCCTTGCTCTACCATTTTTCTTCTCTTTTCCTTTAATCTCCTCTTCTAAGAAGGATCCCCATATTTTCTGCCTACAGACACATTTAAATCACCTCTTACTTTATGGACCTTTCCTCAACCTACTTAAACCAATCATGAAACGTGGGTTCTTGCTTTGCCACTGTGTGACCTTAGGAAAATCACAATCTCTCCACTTCTGTCTCACAATGATGCTGGACTAGATTACCTTGATAATCTCTCCCTTCTCTGAGATCATATAAATCTGTGAATAATTTATACTCATGGCCATGACCCACTCATGTCTTAAGCACTTGTGCTTTATTTCTACCTCTTCTTGCTGTACTGAAACTGACCTCCTGAAATTCCCTAATGGTCACTCCTATGCCCAACTCACAGCCTCCACAATCTCCACCATCTTTCATCTCTCTAGAGCATTTGACATTGCTGACGACCCTTTTCTGATTCTCTCTTTCACTTGGCTTCCCTGACAATCAATCAAACAAGATATCTTACGTTGTATGTGTCAGTTAATATGTGAGGTACTTAGAATACAAAACCAAAACTGAACAGTCATTGCTTTTATGTTCTGTGTTCTATTTCTAAATGTTTCTCCAGTCTCCTTCACTAGCTCTTCATAATCTTAACACTAAATGTAAAGCTTTTCCCAAGCTACAGTTTTTGGCACCCTTTTCCCCTCACTCCCTCAGCATTTCTTCAAGCTTTCTGTCACTTCTATGCAAGTGGTTTCCAAATGTCAAGCTTTTATCTCAATTCCAAATTTTCAAATACCTACTAGACTTCTCCATTTGGATGTCCTATTATAACCTCAAACTCAATTAACAAGCCCTAAATAGAAATCATAATCATTTTCTCCAAAACTATGGGAACCCCATGGGCAAGAAAAGCTTATGAAGATAATTCCTCTTATGAGACTGGTATTATAAAATGTAAGACTGGTAATACAAAGCATAACTAAATTCAACAAATAAGTATATTTGTTGAATTTACTTATGTTTGTATTTTATTTACTTATGCTTTATATTAAGTACCTGCTAAGTACAACACTGTGCTAGACAGAACAGAAAAGATGAAAAGTAATACAGTCCCTGCTAATAAGATTACAATGTGGTATGAGAGAGCAAGATATACACGAATAACAAGTCTGAAAATTATGAAGTGCATTTTAGAGGTCAAACAAAGGGGGCTGAGAGCTTAAAAGAAGGATGACTTCTAGCTCTGAGAATCAAGAAAAGCATCAAGGAGGAACTGATACCAACTAAAAATCGGTCCAGGCAAGAGTGATGAGGCAGGAATAGGGAAGGATTCCAGAGATACTGATGAGATGGAATCAATAAGATTGGACTACCACTGATTTGAAATGGGAAGTGAGGGAGAATGAAGTAAAAACAAGTATGAGAAAATGGTGGTATCATCATCAACAGAAAAAGGAAGTTAGAAAGAAGAGCATACTTTGTTTTGTAGGTAGGCAGAAGACCATAAACTGACTTTTTAAAACTAGCCTTTTATTGATATCTTTTGTTTTTACACGCTTAGATTTTCTACTGTATTTCTACCCTTTCTCCTCCAGAGACCCATCTGTCGTAACAAAGAACTACGTTTAAAAAGAGAAAAAAAAATAGCAAACTGAGCAACATCTTGAAAACCAAAAACCTCTAATATTATGTAAACATTCCACACCTGTGACCTCCTCACCTCTGCAAAGGCCCAGGGAGCTTCCCTTTCACCTTGCCTCTTTGGGACCACGCTTATTCTTCACACTTTTGCCAACATTCGGTTTCAGTTGTTTTGTAGTTGTTTTTCCCATTTACATTGCTGCTGTCATTGTGCATCGTTGTTTCTATGGCTCTTATTTCATTTTGCACCAGTTTATCTAAGTCTTCCTATGTTTCTGTTATTCATATTAATTGTTTCTTACATCACAGTAATATTTCATTATATTTATGTACTACAATTTGTTTAGCCAATTCTGAAATAATAGCCATCTACTTCAAATTCTTTGTTAACATGATTGATTTTGCTGCTACATATTTTTGGTATGTAAGGTGATATGCAGACTTGTTACCAATGACCTCCTTGTAGTATAAGTCTCATAGTGGACTATCTGGATCAAAAGGCATAGACATTTTAGTCATTTTATTTTCCTAATTTTAAATTGTTTTCCAGAATGGTTGTGCTAGTTCA